GTACGTTCTGGTATACCGGACCGTACCCAGGGTACGTTCCGGCAGTACCCTGGGGGACATAGACCCTATGAGCGGTACTAAGTGTGGCATTCTCGTTCTTTGGACATATAATACGCCCAAAATTAGCTGATAATATTACTAGACACTTGTACAGGTGGTAAACACATCTCTACTGTATAACGCAGTAAAGCGTAAGAGATCGTAAGAGTAGATATATATATTGCGTGGGTACACATCGATAACCCACGAGCAATACTCGCCGCACATTACACTATGCGAAATGCCGGCGGCTTCACGGGTTGCAGCTAGACTGACACCAACCGTTTCTGGCTGTCTTCAGATCTCACGAAACGACTTGTGGGTCGATCTATTGTGTAGTTTACCCACCGAAATGATGTTCTGTAAACGCATGAACTGGCTTATATATCGACAAGAGCCTATTCACCTGTGTAGTTAGTGTGTCTATATATAGTTAGCTCGAGATATGTAGCTCGAGATATGTAGCTCTTCGCTAGTATGCTCTGTTGAGAACTCCTCCGTACGCAGATATAATATATATTTTCGTGATCTCACCATTTATGCTTTACTACGTACACTTGTATATATGTATATGTAAATGAATGTGTCACCAAACGGTGCTCAATAAATATCTACCTATCTGTTTTCGTATTCATCCATCCATCCATCCATCCATCCATATATATACATCCATTCATCCATCCATCCATCCATCCATTCATCCGTCCACCCGTCCGCCCGCCCGTCCGTCCGTCCGCCCGCCCATCCGCCCGTCCGTCCGTCCGTCTATCCATCCATCCATCCATCCATTCATCCATCCATCCATCCATCCATCCATCCATCCATCCATCCATCCATCCATACCCGTCGTAATTCGCCTATATTGAAGCTTCTCGACGTACACATCAAGATCTGTCTATCCATCCATCTATCATCCTTTCTATCTGTAGTAAGATGTTTTTCCGGCATGGTGTTTACAGGCAGGAAACGTCGCAATGCGATAGAGGTGAACAACGAGGGCAGCGAACGACAAGTGGAGAACGGATTCACCATGTCGTACGAGGAAACAACATCGATCAGAGAACGAGTAGGAGATATAGGCCCACTCCCCGGCCTAAGCGCATCTCTGCCAGAGATGGCAAATATTTCAGGAGAAGGCAATGGATTCCCTGGACTAAGGGCACCTCTTCCCAGGGTGACACATATTCCAGGAGAAGGGGAGGAACTCCTTGGGATAAGCACGCCCCTGCCAAGGGTGACACATTTTCGAGACAATACTTCCGTCCACTTAGATCTCATGTACGTCACTCCAACACCAATGGTCTACGAGGAAAATCTCTATTTGAGCTTCATTGTGATGAACTATACTGGCGAAGGTATGCGTGTGTATTACTCATGTTAGCGTTCAGTAGGGCCTATACTTCAAGAATGTATGCAAAGTGTCAAGAGTAGATCATAACACATGTGATCTAATGATATCTACTCTTGAAAGTGTTGAATTGAAATTAAATTTGTTAACCTGTGGAACAGGATGGAGCATAACATGATTTTGCGTAAATTAAGCTGTAACGGGCACATGCGCATGACATAATGACATAATATCTCTAGCCGAGGATACGTTTCCTAAATATGAATTATGACTCGGTCTCATTGCTGTTTCCTTCTGCTTTTGTAGATGGTGATATAGTGGTGTCACAGCAGCGAATTTTGACAGTAATAACAGAACACAGAGAAACACTACAGGATGTGGTAAGTAAGGATACCCCTGCAATGAGAGATGAAGTGGATATTTAAATAGGAGAGTACCAGCATGACTGCAGATATGATTGCTATTCGAAATGGGGCAAATACAATGAAATGACTTCAGTTTGGTAGGTGTGACGGAGCAACGCTTAACGTATCTAGCTGTCATTGAACCTAGATCAAACATTTTATTACGCGTCTGTTACTAACCTCTTTCTCATCCTCCTAATGTCTCCCATTTATCCCCGTAGATGGCTCCAATGAACCTCACCGAAATACACGGGGGTATGGCAGCCATAGTAGCGGCACGGATCCAAGGGGCGGGACAACAACCAAGTCTGTTCCGCAGACACCAGACATTGTTTGCTGCGTTACTCGCAGCGGCAGCCATCGTGTTTCTCATAGTAGTAGCATGTCTGGCACTGTGGCGGCACAAACGGCACAGTGGCAGCTGGAACAGAGAGTCACAGCTATACTTGGACGACAGCCAGGTACACCCAGCCCTCTTTAGTTGTCACCCGTTTGTTTGCAGCATAGAAATAATATACTAGACTAACTAGAGACTAATGTATCTATATGTTTCTACGGTGTGCTGTAAAGGAATCGTGACTTGGTTGATAATAAAGATGATTCAGTTATAACTTACAGTAAAAATCCATGCTAGTGGTGACCTCTATGGTATTGAGGGCTGTCTATAAAGGACACATTTGGTGCTTACTTCAAGTCACTTGTATATACAGCTTTGAGAGTACACTTAATGAACATGCACTTTTGAATTTTTTAGTCAGCCGAGTTAAAGTACCGGCCCAACTATCCCTTCTACTGGGACAACCCACTGAGTGACCATGAAATCAAAAAGGATGAGGACGCTAAAGATACATGCAATGGTGATGACCTCTGCGTCATTTCACTGAGTCTAGATGATGAAGTTGACAACTGGGTGGTACCTTACGAAGACTATCATCGCAGGGATGAGGAAGCTGTGAATACACACTTATAGCACTTCACATGAACGGAGTGCAATGCATGCCTTTCAAGTTCAGCATTATCAAATTATTTGTGTATTATTGTTAAAACTCCAGAAAGTATTACTATTATTAAAAGTCCCATAAGTTGGGACGTTTAATTTTGTATGTTTACTTACCATACATACTTACTGTTTTTCGCGCGTGACGTCTGCATAGTCCATGGCGCCACCTGCTGAGTGATTTAGATACAATGTTACCATTTGTTAATCGGATACAAGCTATCAATAATCCAGTGGTAAATCAGGCCCCCATTATTCAATTAATTACTAATGACTTACTATGCTATCAAACTTTTTGTATGAATCGCGAAGCAGAATGATAAAACCTACACTAGTAAAAGGGGACCAGTAATAGATTAAACATTGGTTGTTTCATTGCACATACAACAGCCATGTGTACTATGGATACAAATATGACGTTTGTGTATATAAGGATTTATTTTATTAAATTATAGCCAAATATATCATAGCAAACTCTTCGTGTATTAATATTAAATTTATAGTAAATAATTGAATGTAACGAAGGTATTATGCTATACTTTGCCATGCTATGCTATTCTATGCACTTCTCATTTATCTACCATTTAAATATAGTTCATTGTAAAATAAAACAATTTTATTAAAAAGTTTGCTAATGACTGGTAATTTTATTGTTGTTTTTTTATTAATTAAGATAAAATGTGCTGATATTAATATGTACGGAAGTAGTAATGCATATTCATCAGAAAATATAACTCCTCTGATGAGAAATTGTGCACGCGTTAACACATTAACGTAGATTGTGTACTGACTGGTAGGGGATATATGCAGCGGGTACCTTACATGCAAGGTATTCGCCCTATTTCTTAAGTGAGGTCTACGGATGGTATGTTATCATATATATCTATGTTAGGATACATGCTCTTTATTTTAAATGTATAATTTTTTCAAAATATTCTTCTTCTCATGAGATATTGCGCATGCGCCAGCACCGCTTCAGGAGCTCAGACCGGTCTGAAGCAAACTGCATAATATAGCTTGCTGATTGAGAGAGGAGTGGTAGACTGAATACAGACGGCAGGGAAGATAGCTGAGGGCGGCAGACGGAGAAGGAGTCTATGCGAAGTCCAAGAAAGGCAGTGGGGAAACGGGAGGGGATGAAGTTAAAGTTTTGCACCCTGCAGGCTAGGGCGCTCTCCTAATTATAAACACAGGACTACATATAAAAATTTATTTCAGAAATCTATGCTAAGATACCCGCTAACCATAATAAAAGCATATTCATCAGAATATATAGCTCCTATGGTGAGATATTGCGCATTGGCTAACACTCTGACGTAGCCAGATTTTGTAGTGATTGGCATATGCAGCGGACAAAGCCCGTCCATTGACAGTTTTCAATTGCCAGATTTTTGAGAAGTGGAGAGATCGTTCATGGACAGGTTTTTCAGTGGACGGTTTTTCGCCATGTTCCTTTTAGAACATGCTCCTCTCGCTTCGTCTATTTATTTCCAATTCTATTTGTTCAATTGGACAAAAGTTTCTCACCCTGAAATGCCTGACGTAGAAATACGAAACGCGAAATATCGCGATAATACGATAAAATTATATTTCTTTTGACTTGGGCATGCGCGAGCACTGCTTTGCTACAGTACAAGAAAATTGCGAAGACAGAAAGATATGATTATTCAACTGAATGATGTAGATGATTTTTCAGGTCAAGCTACTGCTGCGCATGCGCTCTCTACCACATGTGAATAATTTGGAAAGATCCGACGTTAAGCGGGCTTTATGTGTAAATAATCAAAACCGTTAGCAAATCACCATTCACGATATGTTTACGTGCCCCATACTTTTACTTCCATATTTTTACACAATCCATCACAGCAATAACAGATTACAAATCGTGATCCTTATCTGATTATAGACCGCGCAGTATAATGATGTGTCATTATTATTATTATGAATAAGTTAGTCATTCTATTGCAGTACGTAGCGCACTAACGCGTTGGCAAGCCGTAGTCACTGGGTCTGGTATGAAGAATGAGATCGTTTTTCAGTTTATGCGTGCGCTTTAATTTTTTTATTTATTATTAGAAAAAGGTAGAACGCTTTGCAATTGTTAATTTCAGAAACTAGCATCTTTGCTAAATCCGACAGTTGCTCGTCCGGGGTGCATTGCTGTGGCTGCCGGGGAATTCCCAGTGTGATACCGTCACTGCCAGGTATAGATTCTCGATCCCACCAGGGGGCGTAGCGGTGGCTGTGACAGCGCGTCTGCGTGCGCGCGATGCTATTTCGGGAGTTACGTCATCGACTAGCCGGACCTAGGGAGCGCGAGTGACGTCATAAATTCCAACGCGCCAACACCTTCGTCAACGCTGTGTCAGTTTAAAGACTAACACACTAACGTAGCCAGATTGTGTACTGATTGACATATGCAGCGGACGCCTTACATGCAAGGTATTCGTTCTATTTCTTAAGTGAGGTCTACGGATGGTATGTTAGGATAGAAATCTATGCTGGGATACCTGCTCTTCACTTTAAATGCATAATTTTTGCAAAATGTTATCCTTCTCATAAGATATTGCGCATGCGCGAGCACCGTTTCAGGCGCTGAGAAAGGACTGAAGCAAACTGCATAATATAGCTTATTGAGTGAGAGAGGGGTGGGAGACTGAGGACAGGCGGCAGGGAAAATAGCTGAGGGCGGTAGAGGAAGAAGGAGTCTATGCGCGGGTCAAGAAAGGCAGTGGGGAAATAAAACGGGAGGGGATAATCTAAGAGTTTTGCACCCTTCAGGCTAGGGTGCTCTCCTATTTATAAACACAGGTCTACATATAAAAATCTATTTCAGAAATTTATGCTGAGATACCCTCTAACCATAATAAATGCATATTCATCAGAAAATATAGCTCCTGTGGTGAGATATTGCGCATGCACTATCACTCTAACGTAACCAGATTATGTACTGATTGTCATATGCAGCGGACGCGTTACATGCAAGGTATTCGTCCTATTTCTTAAGTGATGTCTACG